CCGAACATACCGTTCAATACCAAGGATGTCATCACATTTATATTTCACACGTCAAATACATCAACAATTGTTAAGCAAGTAAAATACACTCTAATATAACAAAATACATAGTTTCAAATGAGTAAATACAATGATTACATATGGTAATTATAATTTCAAATAAAAAGCTATAAATTTAAACACTACTGTTATGATTCTAAAATACAATAGTTATATATATTTAAATAAAAAGATTATGAGGTTAAATACATTGGTTATATTTTCGAATATCCTACTCTATCAAGGAGAGGTGCCAGCACTTCACTTGCTATCCCAATTATTCAGTATTGGGTTCCCTATCTACTGCATACTAATAATATCCCTGGGAATCTCGGTATATACTTCAGATAGACCTACCAATAATCTATAATGATTCCCTACCCCTTCCACAGCCATGCACTTACTATCTTTCCACTTTGGTATCTTAACGGCTTTGGGCAAAGGAATTACACGTTCTACACCATGAAATTTGTATTTTAAATCACCCCATTCGATATTCAACACGGACGAAATTATACCACGTTCAACTGTTAAATTCTCGATCACGGGTCGCTTTGCAAAGGCCAAATGGCTCGGAGACACGTACAGGGTCATAACATTTACCAAGACATACAGCTTGTCATTGGATATCTCTAAAATTAACTTAGTACGGGGCAATTTAGGTGCACGATACATTATAGAGCGATTACGATAACACTTGCACAATCGAATAACCGCCAATATTAATAAGAATCCTGAACACATTAAAATCAGAATTAACGTTTCATTTCGAAGTTGGATCATGGAACTCTTCAAATCTCGCAAGGGGTGGTCCGTAATTAACTCGTCTACTGGCAAATATAACGTTTTAGCCCGGGCCCTGGGAAGGGTTGCAATCAATATGCTCAAAGTTCTCACCTTACAAACTGTATATACTGACAAAATCAGTGACCCTGTGCTTATAATAGCCAGAATGGTTTCAATTATAGTAATAGTTTTGACTTCCAAAAACGGTAAGGCAGGGGTTTCATCCGTAATGTCGCTAAATAATTTGTCTACTTTTGAATAATAAATTGGTTTATTTTTTTTCTTAATAAATCTGCC